TGGATTATTTATCTTAATTAAATCACCAAAAAAAGATAATTAGACATACATATGCGAATTTAGTATACTATATATAAAACAGTTGTGGAAAATAAAAATAAAATTGTTTCACAGTAACAATCCTTTGCATGTAAATAACAAATTCAAGTCAACAAAGTGATTCGGATACTATTAGCACTTGCTTTTTTATATTAGTATAGTAAACATTGTTACAAAAAGTTAAAGCCCACTAGTGAGACGTATAAATGGCGAAATTTCCTTCTACGATTAGCCGGTTTGCTAGCCGCTGTACTAATAGTGGTTTGATTCTTCAATCGATAAGTCTTACTAGCCCAACCCTAACGAATCAATTGCCGCTCCTGTACGTCCTAATCGCGGCCCAAGGAGAATAATTATACGACGGGGCGCTACGGAGGTAATAACAACACCAACCAATGGTCGTAGAGTTCGTGTTATTAGAAGAAGAAATTAATGGCAATAACGGAGGCAATATCGGAGGCAATGGCGAGGTAATGGCGGAGGCAATATCGGTGGATCGCAGCGCTATCGCAGCCAGTATCCGCGGGTGAAGTGTAAATAGAGGAAACAACCTAAATCGGTAGGAATGGATCCCGAGGAAATCGAAGAAAACAATAGGGGGAATATAGCTAGAAGGATCATCGGTTGAAAATTTTAAATCGCTTGAGGTTCTAAAATTACACTAACCAGTTTTTTATTTATAATAATACGAATTGACTGTAATAAAGGCGCACAAACCTACATTTTGTTGTTATAACCTGAACAGGGCATATTTTAGTTTGCCACGAAGTTTTTAACACCCAGAAGGAAACATTGGAGATCTTATAAAATATTTATGATAATGATCAGCAAGACAAGCTGAGTCGATTCAGCCATGTCCGTCTGTCTGTAAATACGTGAACTAGTCCTTCAGATTTTGTGATATCGATCTGAAATTTTGCGGTACGTCTTTTTCTCTCCTTGCTCATTTGTCGGGACCACCTGCATCGGGACCACTATTGGTAATAGCTGGCATACAAACTGAACGAACAGAATCAAGTGCTTGTATGGATAACTCAGGCCATAGTTCAGAACCGGAGCACGCTATCACCTTGAGGCAAGGAGAAGAGAGATTTATTAGGTCATTGGGAGGAGGCGTTCTTTCTGTTACAGAAGAACTAAGTGTTAGTTCATCGCAAGGACGTTTACGCTTAGGAGCAGGTTTAGAGTGAGAATCATTCAGGCACTTAAAAGATTTGAACAATTTTTCATAGTGCCTAAATTTTCAGTGGAGGGTTACAAGATCCGACCGATTTCGTTAAAGCCATTTGCGGTCTCCCCTAAAACTTTAAATAGATCGTTTAATAGATCTAAATAAACAGACCAACGCAATCCCTTACAGTCGAGAATAGAATCTAAGATTCGACCTGTCAGTCGAGCACATTAATATGGACAAGCCCATCACAAAAGCCAGCATGAAACGTAGCGATCTGACTCGCCTATAATGTTACAATTGGGAAGTTACAAGACATAATAAACAACAAGAATGAAAATCAAATAAAGAGTAAGTAGAACAAAATTTAAGATATATAATAAATTAGTGTGTTAATAAAATATTAATAATATAAATTCAATTAAGAACAAACGCAAAAATAATAGCAATTTTTTATTAAAGTTTAAAACCAAGACAGTTTGAAAAAGGAATATAGCGAGCAGTTTTAGAAGCACTGTAACAAATAAAAAGCTACACGCAACACAGCTGTGAATAAATAAGTAAATGAGATAAATAAAGAAAGAAAATAGAATAAAACAAAACAAAATGAAACTAAAAGCAGACTCGGCACCAAAAATTCGAAAGTTTAAACTTTTTAATAATGCACAAAACCTAAGAACATTTAATACTTATATTGCAACTAAATCAGTAAAAAAAATCAATTAAACTTGAAGAATTTTGTAAAATAAAAACACAAAAGTGTGCAGTCAAAAAATTACAGCTTTAGAGCTTGAAGTGTTACCACCTATTATTAAAGAATGTATCAAAAATAATGAAAGCTTAACTTTGTCAACTGTGAAGAGATTAATTGCAAAATTTAGGGAGACAGGATAACTTGGAGACGCCAAACACACAGTGCGTGAGAGTGTCAGTGGCAATCCAGGAACCTCGATTCTCTCTACAGCATATACTTACTAAAGATCTGCGTCTCCATGTTTACAAAATTCAATTATCATAACAAATGAAGCCTAATGACAATGCACAGCAAAGAAAGTTTGTTGAATGGATTATTGAGCATCAACAAATGGATGCTGATTTTTTGGCCAAAATCATCTTAAGCAATGTAGCACATGCATCCATAATGTGTCATTGTTTGGTGTTGAAAGAACACCTTTTTCTGGACAATAAAATGTTCGCACAAATGTTTATTACCCTATTCTAGGAACTTCGAGTTTACAATTGGCCGGGCATAAAAGTGCATACGAAATTTTTTTGTTTTTTTTGATGATTTATCTTAGAAAGGATTTAAACAAATTGAAAAATTTTTCCAATAAACTTGAATTCCAACAAAGATTCCTTAGCAAATACGGAAGATGTACGCTATGCACAAAAAATATGCAATGTACTGCATTCACGGAGTCTTCGAGATGTTTATCCAAATGTGGACATTGCTTTCCGTATTTATTTAAGTGTTCCGACGACAAATTGTTCAGGAGAAAGATCTTTCTCCACTCTAAAAAGGGTAAAAACCTCTTGACGAGCCAGCATGATCCAAGATAGACTTAATGCTCTGGCATTACTATCTATTGAAGTTCAACTAGTCCAAGAAATTAATTATGACGATGTTATCGAAAACGGAAATTTTCAAATTGAATAATTTAAAAAAAAATATTTATTATTTATCTGTTTAAAGTTTATAATTTATTTATCAGTCACGTTTATAAGTTTAATTTAAAAAATTATATTTCGATAAATAAAGATATTTTAATATAAAAATATTGGATCGAAATTAATGAAATTCATGTATCTAAAAGGGCGGCGCATCGAATGGGTCCTAGGGCGGCAGCAAGCCTAAGCCCGTCGCTGGCTGCACCTGAACTAAGTTGTTCATTACAAGATATTTATGTGTACATTGCACCAAATTCTCTAAATTTTAAAACGGTAGTCTAACAATTCCACTTTCAATGTTCTCCATTTCCTTTTAGTTTATCCTCAGTGTGTTCATCAGCACAACATTTTTCGCATTAGCTGAAGTGATAACTCGAAGACAAATGATTCGATCATCATAAAATTATTTTCTGCCTGTTCTGTATATAATTTTACATTTAACAAACTATGAGTAAAATTCAACTTTGTTTCTTCACAACGCCGAAATTTTGTCAATTTAAATAAATACAGTTAAAAAACTAAAAAACGGGCTTTTAGAGCATTTCAAACTAAAAAGTGATAAATAATTCTTAATATAAAATGACAGTAATATTGACTAGAAAACACTTGTATTATTTCGAGAAAAATGCGACATGCTCGATATACTAAAAATATGGCACAAACCAATCCACATGTTTGCTGATGCGCAAGGGAAGTTGGTATTGCGGATGGGCGGAATTGTAACATTGTCACGCTCACAAAAATACGCTATTCACTGAAAACATATAAAGTGCCATAACTAGGACTAAAGTAAGAGACAAAACAGTAATTTGGTGCAGCAGATTGTAGTAGCCAGGGCAACTATTGGCCAAACTTTTTTGCTTATTAAATGCTGCGAAAATGCGTAAAATCGGATGGCAACTACAATTACTTCCCACATAACATTTTTTTAAATTTCATATGATAGTATTGGAATTCGGAGAGAACATTTTTGTAATGACAGTATGCCCTTGAGTGGAAATAGGTGAATTCGATACATCAATACATAAGAAATCTTAAAGAAACTCGGAAAAAATATTTTTCTAATAACAATGTATACTCTTGCCTAAAATTTATAAAATCAGGGCAATACTTCCTCTAGTCCCCATATATGGTACTAAATATACGGATTTTTAAACATCCGCTTGACTTTGTACCTTATATATTGGTCAATCTGTGAAGCCTCTTAATTAAATTCTGAGAGCCTGTATTTCTGGTTATGATATGTCGTAAAACCAAAACTGAATAAAATCTGGTCAAAATATTCCTTAACCCACATGTACCTTATATAATTAATTCTATAAGAATTATAAAAGAATTTTAGTCTTCCAGTTCCAATATGTAAGATATCCTAGCAAAATTAACTGATAGTATAATATTGAATATACTTTATATAATAAATAAAATGTGAAATAATATTACACTACGTTATATATCTTAACAAACCGCTGAAAATAATTGGAGTTGGTTTACACCTTGGGTTTAATCTCATAACCTTAATATCATCAATTGCGATCTTCTGTTGGACGTTTTCCACATCAACTCAATATGTTGAATTTAGCCCCTTTAATTTAGTTTATGTCAACTATATCTTATTTGACGATGATTTTAACATAATTTTCGCTTTCTTAATATTAAGTTTTGCCAACATCTGAAAATATTTCCCCAGCTTTGATTCTTGCAAGTTGTAAGAGTATGAAATGATAAAATAGTTTCCCGCGAATTGATCGCGCAAAGAAAAACTGTTATTTTTTTAAACACACTGTAATGCTTCAAAGTGCTACCATGTATGTAATAAATAAGTCTCGCACCTCTAATTTAGACATTATTTAACTTAAACAATTGCTTAACTTTAAATGGATTATTTATCTTAATTTAAATCACCAAAAAAGATAATTAGACATACATATGCGAATTTAGTATACTATATATAAAACAGTTGTGGAAATAAAAATAAAAATTGTTTCACAGTAACAATCCATTTGCATGTAAATAACAAATTCAAGGTCAACTAAAGTGATTCGGATATATATAGCACTGTTGCTTTTATATTAAGTATAGTAACATTGTTACAAAAAGTTAAGCCCACTAGTTAAGACGTATAATGGCGAAATTCCTTCTACGATTAGCCGTATTGCTAGCCGCTGTACTAATAGTGGTTGATTCTCAATCGATAAGTCTTACTAGCCCAACCCTAACGAATCCAATTGCCGCTCCTGTACGTCCTAATCGCGGCCCAAGGAGAATAATTATACGACGGGGCGCTAACGGAGGTAATAACAACACCAACAATGGTCGTAGAGTTCGTGTTATTAGAAGAAGAAATAATGGCAATAACGGAGGCAATATCGGAGGCAATGGCGGAGGTAATGGCGGAGGCAATATCGGTGGCATCGCAGGCGCTATCGCAGCCAGTATCGCGGGTGGAAGTGTAAATAGAGGAAACAACCTAAATCGTAGGAATGGATCCCGAGGAAATCGAAGAAACAATAGGGGGAATATAGCTAGAAGGATCATCGGTTGAAAATTTAAATCGCTTGAGGTTCTAAATTACACTAACATTTTTTATTTTATTAATTTTAATATCGAATTGACTGTAATAAAGGCGCATCAAACCTACATTTGTTGTTATAACCTGAACAGGGCATATTTAGTTTGCCACGAAGTTTTTAACACCCAGAAGGAAACATTGGAGATCTTATAAAATATTTATATAAATGATCAGCAAGACAAGCTGAGTCGATTCAGCCATGTCCGTCTGTCTGTAAATACGTGAACTAGTCCTTCAGATTTTGTGATATCGATCTGAAATTTTGCGTACGTCTTTTTCTCCCTTGCTCATTTGTCGGGACCACCTGCATCGGACCACTATGGTAAATAGCTGGCATACAAACTGAACGAACAGAATCAAGTGCTTGTATGGATAACTCAGGCCATAGTTCAGACCGGAGCACGGCTTATCACCTTGAGGGCAAGGAGAAGAGAGATTTATTAGGTCATTGGGAGGAGACGTTCTTTTCTGTACAGAAGAACTAAGTGTTAGTTCATCGCAAGGACGTTTACGCTTAGGAGCAGGTTTAGAGTGAGAATCATTCAGGCACTTAAAAGATTTGAACAATTTTTCATAGTGCCTAAATTTTTCAGTGAGGGTTACAAGATCTCGACCGATTTCGTTAAAGCCATTGCGTGTCTCCCTCTAAACTTTAAATAGATCGATTTTAATAGATCTACAATTAAACAGGACCAACGCAATCCCTTACAGTCGAGAATAGAATCTAAGATTCGACCTGTCAGTCGAGCACATTTAATATGGACAAGCCCATCACAAAGCCAGCATGAAACGTAGCGATCTGACTCGCCTATAATGTTACAATTGGGGAAGTTACAAGACATAATAAACAACAAGAATGAAAATCAAATAAAAGAGTAAGTAGAACAAAATTTAATAGATATATAATAAATTAGTGTGTTAATAAAATATTAATAATAATAAATTCAATTAAGAACAAACGCAAAAATAATAGCAATTTTTTTTTATTAAAGTTTAAAACCAAGACAGTTTGAAAAAGGAATATAGCGAGCAGTTTTAGAAGCACTGTAACAAATAAAAAGCTACACGCAACACAGCTGTGAATAAATAAGTAAATGAGATAAATAAAGAAAGAAAATAGAATAAAACAAAACAAAATGAAACTAAAAGCAGACTCGGCACCAAAAATTCGAAAGTTTCAACTTTTTAATAATGCACAAAACCTAAGAACATTTAATACTTATATTGCAACTAAATCAGTAAAAAAAATCAATTAAACTTGAAGAATTTTGTAAAATAAAAACACAAAAGTGTGCAGTCAAAAAATTACAGCTTTAGAGCTTGAAGTGTTACCACCTATTATTAAAGAATGTATCAAAAATAATGAAAGCTTAACTTTGTCAACTGTGAAGAGATTAATTGCAAAATTTAGGGAGACAGGATAACTTG